ATTAAAACAAATAAATATATAACGTTATACATTATAATGATTGGCTGATAATAATACACGAAATTCGTTGAGTTTTTTTTTTTTTTTTTTTGTTTCTCTCGATTTCATAATATATGTGGAAAATGCGACCTTTATTATTGGCAGAGCTCCATCACATTATAATTTGAACTTTCAATGCTGATTGAATATTTTAAATCAATAATTAAATAATAACTATAAAATTATGGAACAATGTTTTATTATTTCAAAATAAATATAAATAAAATACGTATTGTGTGTCACAAAACGTTTCTTAGCACTTGGAGAAAAATTAAGTATAAAAGCTGTTATTTGTTAACATTAGCATGATAAAGAATATTTGCTTTTCATTTCTTGTTAAGAAATATTAGTCAATAACCCCGATTGTATAGTAAACTATTTCAGTAATCCAAAAAAAAAAAAAAAAGGAATTTGCCTTTAAAGTGGACATTTATTTATTTTTTTTTTAATGGGATTTCGTCAACTTCCTGAAATTTCGTTTTTTCGAAACATATACATAAGTGAAAAGTAACGGATAGCCGGATTTTCTTTTATTCCATTTTATGATTTCTACGTCGGTTACAGATGAAATAATAAAACTAAAAAATAATTTTTTTAAAACAATTATTTTCCTTAGGAGTTGTTAATTAGGTTTGAAAAATAACATTCAGAACAGACATCCTTCATTCACGATTCGGACTAATTATTAACAAGTTGAAACTTGAAAGTGTCAAACTGTCAAGGTAACTGCTACTGACCCTGATTGCTAAATTAGTAACTAAAGACCGAGCTGCCTACCATTTAGCAACCTGTTATTTTTCATCTGATATTATAAGTACTGCAACAAACAATTAATAATAATATACGCATTCATAGAGTGAGAAAGGATACATTCTTAATTTTAAAAAGAAAAGTAAATTCCATTTTAAACTATTAAAAAAAAAATATTAGAAGCAGTTTGAGATGAGTATTGAAATTAAATCCCTTACGAACGTTTAAGAAAAGGCCTTCTATTCAATTATCCTTCCACACTAGGCCTGCGATCCCATATCCTATATGCGATGTTATTATTCCCTTTAAGTTATAGGTAATATCCAGATTTAGCACTGGGCGTGAACTTTCCAAGGAAGAGAATGTCAGCCACCGCATTCCGAGCCAAGAACGCATTAGAACACTTTCTTTGTAGACTTCTTGTGCAAGGTAGATAGACTTTAGTGATAGCGGTACGCCAATGACCTCAATATCTAGTTATTGTAATTTCAACTTACTGCGTACTTATATGGTAAAGAGTAACTCCATGGAACGAAATTTAATAAAATAATGGATTATGGCTTGTACTGTCATAATTTTTACTAGAATAAAATGATTTTAACGTTTAACAAATTATATGTCATCTTTCCACATACTAACTCATGCAATGGTTCTAACATTCAATATGATCTTGATTATATTTAATTAATGTTATATGAACTTTTTTATTGAGGCCTCAAGTTTAGTAATAATGACAATGAAGGTAAGCAACCAGGGCAATCTATAAGATTAAGCTTGATAATTATCCTCCCGTCTACTTCTCGGTCTATCCCTCAGACATTTATCCGTCGATTCAATGAATATTGCCATTTTAATCTTTACTCTGCTCACGGATTTTAATGCTGCTATCCTCTTAACTTCTTAACGTCCTCTTATCTTTATTAACTCTTAGCATCCTCGTATCCCGATCGGTGCTTATGATTGTGGGGATAACTAGCACCGAGCGTCTTGAGGCTTAAATAGTCGCAATTTCTTCAGAACAAATATTTTTTTCCCTTAGACGTACTATTGCAAACTCAAAAAATATAAATAATAATTCGCCTTTTGAATAGCGTCATTACAACTATTTTGCTAGTCGGAGATAGCTAATTTGAAATATTATTAAACAAATAAGGATGAGAAATGGGTGATTAGTTGAACCATAGCGCGAAGGTGAGACCGAAGGTTAGGGACAGCCATCAAATGGGACATGGCCGTGCTGTGTGTACACCACCCCGAGCTTCTACTAGGTCACTCTTCACTTATTTATTTCAACAAGGTGAATTGTTAACGCTGAGCAGAGAATTAACTTGATTTAAAGTCCCCTTCCAAAGATAATTTTAAAAAAATGATACTTCGTGGAAGCCTTAACAGGATATGCCATTATCGATTTACTAATGGTCTAGTAACGATACTAACGTGGAAAACGTGTTTTATTAATAAACAAAAAATATTATACCGTTTCTCAACCTGACATGTTGAATTATTGTTGTATAATATATTTAATCAATAAAAACGTAATATTTACACCCAACGTGTAATATTCTAAACTGTCATTTGAATACATTGATTTCTCAGTTTGCTGGTGTTCCTCAAGGTAATATCATCGGTGCCTTTCTCTATACAGTTTACGAGATGTGGCTATTAAATAACAATACCTATTTGGTAAAAAAAAAAAATATTTTGATATTATACTTATTTAATTAACATCACCTTCAATATAAACTCTTCTCCATCTTTACGACGGTTCATGCTAATGTCCCAAAGTCTAAAGCAATACTGGAATTCGTGTGTCAGCTCCTTTATGACGCGGACCGCTTTCTCTTCTTATTATTATTCTTTTAGCAAGAATGTGATTTTAGTATTTTTGATTAATAGTTTGATCTTCAAGAACCCAATGAAGGTACAAAATCCCATGATATAGAAAAACATTTGCTCTCTTGAGCTTTTTTTGGTTCTCGGTTGAGTTAGGTTTTTCCAGTACATGGCTTCGCTTCGTTTCAGGATCATATGTAAATAGACACTATTCGTCAATTCGCAATTAAAAGAACTAAGATTTGAGTCCTTAGAAAGAGGAAGCGTCAAGCATCTTGATGTTGCTGACAGAAGACAATAGAAGATAAGCCAAGAGCGTTGCAAGGATGGATAAGCGGTGGATATTGAAAGCTATAATATGTAAATATGTATAAAACGAAAATAAAATGTTTTACATCAGTCTCGAATAAAGCTGAAATCCCAACTCATCCTGACACAATTGTCACCATATAAAGATTAGTATCAAACTGGAGAATTAAAAGTGACTCCAACAATTCCTTTCAAATCACCTAAACCCTTCCTTGTAAACCTTCTGCTTCTTGTCCTACAGTATCCTTTAATAGCATTTCCTTTATCCCTATTAAACAGATCCGCTACTTGGAACTCCGCCACACTTCCTCGCAATCCTCATAAAATATTGAAGAAACATCTAGAGATTTTCAACACTTGCTAGACAAATGCATTAAGCTGTCAATTAATTAAAAAAGGGACATTTTCACAAATATGAAAAGACCTAATTGGATTTAATTCTGCACGAAATCATCGAATTCAAAAACCATTACCATCCAAAATGTTTCGTTCAACGTTTCTTATTTTTTCATAAACAAAATCGTCCACAATAAAATCTCGAACCATCCTCGATCCTATTAGTTTCTAGCCTTGCTTCCTTCACGATTCCTGACAAATTTTCAAAGCGGTTGTAAAGACGGCCTCGGTATTTATCTTATATGGAACGGTTATTTTATTGAAATCAGTTGGTAGTTTTTCTAAAAGTATTTGTTATGTCACTACATCATAAGTCACTTGTACCTGATATTTTGGTACTGTTATACATTTCAATAAATTAAAAATAATATAGACGTAACTTGATGTAAGATTTAAAATCCTGTAAGTTTCACTACCATCTATAGAAATCTACCGCGGAAAAATCATGCTTAAAAATTAAATTTTAAAGGATAAAATAAATCATGAATTTCAATTAAAAAAAAAACAATTCCATAAATACTAAAGTGCAATAAATCGATAATTAACTATAGAAGTATCTGCAAAAAAAAAATAAATAAATAAAAGAATAAAAATCATAATGTAAAGCATGATGGTTTTAGAAAGATGTTCAAAAGAAAATTTAGAGAGAAGTGATAATTATTTTTATACTCGCTGATTAGGGAACAATAAAGACTCAAATTAATCTTAATTCAAGTCCCATAACAAAAAAAAAAAAAAAAATTTAAAACATCCCTTTAGACCATGGTAAATATCCAACCTCTGAAGGGCTGTTAAATCTGGAAACTGCTTACAAAGTTCAGCTCTTAAGTTTAGAAATATTGCCTGAGCTATAAGAGAAAGAAACGTTCCTTTACACCGTCGTAAATTCTCTTCAGGTGTCATATATACAGGCATCTCCACTCATAAAAGTGTCGTTTCACGGTACTTGAAAAGTATTTTGACCGACTGACCGAAATATGATGTGCTGTCTAACTAAGTTTGTTTTACATTTTTATGAACTTCAGCACTTTTGCTAAAAAGGAAAAAGGAAAATTCAGATTTACTAAAACTAAAATTATTTAGGAGAGGAGGAATGATGAAAATTATCAATAGATCAACAATTACAAGAACAATTCGAAGAGTTGGCAAACAGCTTCGAGATTCTGGTTATCTCGTTCTATTGAAGAAATCTTTGTTTATTGTTACGTTATAACTATTCATCGAGAAAGATAAAAAAAAAAATTAAAAATAAAAGTCATCTTCAATCAACGAAGCAAAACAATATAGTCCATGGTACAGACCCCTTTTTCCGGCTGAAACTTCATAAATAGCTTTATCTCATCATAATCTACAAATATTTTATTTACTTTATGATTTTTTGTAATAAACAGACGATATATATTTTTTTTTTATTATTTATTCTAAATATTAGAAAAATGCAAGGTATCATGGAAATTTTGCAAAGAAACGATGCGGACCTGTGGGACTAATTTTTAAATAAATGAGTACTAGTCAAAGCTATAAGCTGTAATCAATAAGCTAACCTATTTTCATAATTCATCGGCATTAAATAGTAGAGGATATTGAGCGCGTAGAAAATGAGTACGTCAATTATTTATGAGTTTAAGTTCAATGAATCAAAAAAAGACAATGAAAAATACTATTCCACTTACGATATCATGACCCGTGCTTCCTCCACGGACGACTTCCGGTGCCATGTACTCAATGGTGCCGCAGAAGGAGTACGCCCTCTGCTCCTAAAGACAAGATGGCGTTTTAAACTTACAAAATATTAAAAAATTTGGAACTTGTTTGTTTAAGTAAAATTATTCAACTTTTTTTTTTTTTAATATATGTACTTACAGTTTCGTGGGGAAGAAATTCTTTGCTGAGGCCAAAATCTGTCAGAACAATATGGCCTTGAGCGTCCAAGAGAATGTTTTCCAACTTGATATCCCGGTAAATAATGCCCAACTGAAAAAAATAAAAATAATAATATTAGATACAACAACAAAATTTTCATAAAATATATACTAATAAAGAATTTTATTCTATTTTTAGTTTTATATTCGAGACTTCGATCCTTCAGTAATATTGCATATTTACTTATAAACAAAACTATGACAGGATCGTGGTTGAGGTTATCAGCGGATGGAAATACCTACCATTTCAAGCAACAAAGGAATTCTTAACGTGCTCGGGATTCTTGACAAATGACACTAACAATGAACGACCAGGTCTTCCATTAGGTTACTCTGTTTTAAATATTGCAAACAATAATTAATAAATAAATAGCTCTGAGCGAACAATTTACAGTTATAAATTATTACTCGGAATATTTTCAACAACTCTCTTAACAACCTTCAATGGTATGTTGTACACAAAGCCAGTAAAAAAGAATTATCTTAACTATTTCTTTATTAAGGACACTTTTATAAGGAATAAGTACTGATTAGTCGCTTTAGTATTGTTTAGGAATTTGTTAACTGTCGAATTCAAGTATTTTAAAAAGATTAAAGTTCACACAAAGTGAAACATTTATTTTTGTATGTATAAGACGTAAAAATAATAATAAGGAATTTGTAATGATTTTGACATTTATATTTTAAAAATATATCTCCTTTTAACACAACAGTTATATTTATTTAAATGCACAATACACCAGCAGTGCCCAATGACGGCCATTCATTTTACATTATATATACAAGAAAATAACGAATATTTGTAAAATACAATAGGTGATAAATATTCAAAACACATAATAACAGTTAACATAAGGTTTTTATTGGTGCCGACGTTTCAACCCAAACATGTGGGTCATCATCAGAGTGTGTTTTGGAGCACTGATGGTATTCAAGTAATCTATGGAGTATTTGTAAAATAAAACTTTATAACAACTGCGTCCTGAATAATTACCACCCATGATATGCAGACCAGTGGATAAAATTCCTTCAATAATTCGAAAAATGCAACAAAATAAAGTAATACTGAACCATTACAAAAATTAGAAGCACACAGTAATAATATTAATTAAAAAATGAACAAACGAAAAATTAGCTACAGCTCACACGTATTCAATTATATATTACGTATATGGAATACAATTACAGATTAAAACATTTAATTAATTAAAGGTTTTAATACTATAATTAATTCTCTATAAAGGAGATTGTTTTTAAGAATTACTTATATTTCAACAATTTTTTTCCCGTTAATATAGATAATAATGGTACTCATAAGATAACAATGGTTAAAAAATATAAGTATGTCGTTCCAAAAAAAAAAATTGAAACTATTGAAACAGTAAGAATTATTTTATTTTTGTAACACATTTACACTTGTGAATAATTAGTGAAGTATGTTGAAATAGTTTAAATGGTTCCGTGAGCTACGACTTTAATACATTAATTTACAAATAATAAAAAAAATTCTATTAATTTTATTTTTATTTATTACGAATATATATAACTGTTAATTCAGTGTTTAATTTATTAAGGAAACAGTGATTTCTTCTAGCTGGAATAAAAGAAAGTTACATTTTATCGTTGCCTTTCACTTTTACTTCTGCACTATTAATAGACACAAGCCATACTAAAAAATAATCTTATAGTTTCTGTATTTAAATATTTAATCTTTAATTAATATTAATTATTAAATGTAAATATCATAATGATAGTAAACTTGATTTCGTATAGAACAAAGAAATGCGGGATATTTAAAAGACAAATCGATTTGATATATGAGCATTATAAATACATTATTTTCATTTATTATAAGAGAGTTAAGAGTGTATGGAATCAGAGCAGAGATGAACGGGATTAATAACAATTCACATCGGAGAACTGAGAAGTTAACCCAGTTTCCAAGATGTCCGTTACAATTGCACCAACTTAGCAGACAACTCAAGCGCTCACTAAATACAAGTTACTAGCCAATCATAGCCTGTATACAAGGAACTTTAATAACTTATTTTTGTTTTACATTTGTTGTGTACGATCCATTGAATCTGTAATATTGTGCTAAAGGACTATTCAACTAATTAATTAATGAGATAAGACGATAAGCATGATCGCCATAAGAAAATATTATAGGTATAATTTAATTTTTGGAAAGAATTAGCTTCATTCATGAATCAATTTTATTATTAAAAAAAATTTAAGGCATCGGACTTCAGAAAATATTTAGTAAAAAAACAGAACATACTCTTTTCGCCATATAACATAATTTCTTTGTATAAGTCATAGAATTAAAATTAAAAAAAATAATTTTCAATCCTCATTTTGGAATGAGAACATTTCTGCTCATTGAGCCACTTTCAAGTACGTTTGCATCCTTTATGGGTCGCTATTCGGCATTCAAGTTAATTACATAACATTGTGTAAATTAAAATATGGATTGTAAAAAAAAAAAACATCATCAGTGTACTAAAGACTTTACGAATTGTAAACTGAAACAATATAAGACATTGAAATAAAAGGAAATTATATTAAAATTGTCATCAACTGGGAGGCCAAAAAAACGAAGTAGAAAGAATGCAGAAGGAGTAAAATTTGAATAAATTAAAATATACAGATATTATTACAATAAATTAATGAAAGGTTTAGCGAACCCGAAGGTTCGATGCCGACACCATATATCGGTGTCTACACATCTTCCTCCACCGATCGCTATCCAAACAAAGTCCCTTCAAATCGGCTTAAACCCAATCTTCCCACCTTCTTTTCGGTCTACCCCTCGGACATTTACCAGTCGGCACAGCAAATGTTAACCTTTAAAGAATCCTTTCGTTACTAAGTCCAACAATTTTACAAGTCCATTTAATTCGCCGCGATGTAATCATCTCAATTATATTAACCGAGTACAATTCACGCAATTCGGCGTCGTGTAACCGTCTGAACTCTGTGGTTAACTCATCCTTCTTCATTCCGAATATTTTATGCAATATTATAATAGCAAACGACTTGAAAATAAAAACATTATTGGTGTGCTAATGGTTTTATGACTGATGTACTGAAATAATATACGACATCGAAATAAAAGAACATTATATTAAAAAAATCAAGAAGTATTTATGTACAATTCCATAGGGTTATGACATTATGGCTATTTTTAAAAATTAAACTATAAAAACTGAATATAGAATAGAATGGAATAGGAAAAAAACTTCATTCTGAGACAATGTCTCTTGTGAATACCAGCTGGCTACAGTTTAAACGGCATATTTAGGATAGAACCTTTCCAATTGAATGTAGTATATATCGGATTGATTGGAAAAAAGTTAAACTGGAAAGAGCGAAGACACTTAGAATGGCTATGGGTTATTCATGAATGGGCAGAGCAGAGAACAGATTGGAAGTGTTATTTAAACCCTGGGGTGGTTGGAGGACAGATGTGAAGGCAGCTGCCGCCGCACCTGTAGTTCAGGTATCCTAGTCCGGATAGCTCTGGTAGTCTGTCGCTTTGTGGTCGTGTGTGGGAGTTTGTTTATGGCTTCTGTCTATCCCATACTGTCCAGCTTGGTTAATTACGGGGACAATAGAGGTTATAACAATAAGGGTATGTAGTTACGGTCACAAGGTTGATTTGTATAAAAATGTACAAGTTGGACCTCAAGAAGAGCAAAAGGACCTACCTAAATAAGAAATATTAAACACCCTAAATAAAATCCTACGTAAAATTTAATAATAAAAAGAAAATCTAAATACCACCATAATAAAAGAGAAAAAAACAATATTAGTCCGATTGGAAAAATATTTCATGTAAATTTATGAAGACATTAATTAGGGTTTTAACACAAAAACGGTGAACTTAACTTTATTTTTTTTATTTATTAAATAAATATATACATCTCATACCGAGTATATCCGAATAAGATTTTTAGGGAATTTCGTTTTCTTAATATCTTACAATAATTTTTGTATTCTTACTCAACTTAAGGTATGTATCCAAAATAAATTACCGAATAATAAATATTACAAAAAAAAAACATTTTTTTTATAAAATTTTTTTTTTTTTAAATAGTTTATAGGATATTTATTGTGCCCTTTTGCCGAATCATTGGCATTCAAGCAAAAGATCATTTAGTCCGAAATAGTAAAAATATTTCGGTAATAGTAAAAAAAAATAGTAAAAAAAATCAAGGATCATCTTTTCTATCAGGAAGCCATACATTTTAACATCCTTAAATCATCCAATTCCTTATTAAACTGCAATCCGTAGTGAAAATTAATTTAGTCAGGTTATATTTATGCTAAATTATTTATCATCCCTACAAAATTCAGCAAACATACTTTGAAAATTTTACTCAGCACTGCCTTGTTAACTCTGATGAGCAGGACGCTAGTCGAATACCTGAAAAAGAATCGGGGTCCAATTCAAGCTCTCTAAAAGATACGTCGAAACCCAATTCGAACCATTTTTGGGATTTGTGACCCAACTCAATTTACCTTAAAACGAACGATCGTATGATACATAAATCAGCCTTTTCAGCAATCGAAATGAATGTAATGTATAGTTCATTTATAAATAAATATTCCATGCATAATATAGTTATGATACATAAAGGTAACATTCAAAAATGATAAGTTTCTAATTTTCTCTAAATATTAGATTAATTTAAAGGAAAAAGATAACGGCGAAGCAATCTAAAATTGAACAGATTTAATTGAAGGAACATGCGTCAAATATCAAACAATGGACAACAATTATGCATCAATCACTAACAAAGCTGAAATTGTTAGACATACATTGGCTCCACACACTTAGCATCGGCAAACATCAATGACGCAAGTGAGCTGCTGACAAATGAATAAAATATGGAATTAATTACAATTAATCGGTAAACAAGAGATGAAGGTCGATCATTAAGGAAGTTGTAAAGAATAAAATAGATCATGAAAACTAGAGCCTGAAGAATGATAATGAATTGTTGAAATCTATTTTAAAATAATTTCGCTTGCTAATAGGAAAGTAAT